TCAGGAGGACCAGTAGGCTGACCAAACAGGCACTTTATTGCAGTATAACTATGCTTTCATACCTTTCCTCATCTAGGAAAATTCTTACTATAGAAATATAGCACAAAACAAGTTCCTTTGAACCACACAGTTTCAATAATCACTGTTTCATTAATCACATGTACTTGCATCAGCAGTAGCCAAGCAGAACTTCTAAGACAAAGGCATGTACCTGGGAAGAGTTTCATTTATTATATGTAATTGTATAAGCAGCACCCAAGCAGAACTACTAAGAGAAAGACATGTGCCTCGAGACTGATTATTAGAGACTGACCTGTATAGGTTGAGCCCTGGGTCAGCCAGGATAGACCCTGCCAGTATCCCATTGACTGCTTCTGCAGTGGGGAGAGGGATAGAGGGATGGGGGAGTGGGGTGTGGAGACAGCCTGCACCTGGCAGTCCTGAATATTCAGCTCCCAACAAAAGATGGTCTTTTTTACCCCTGGCCTGTATTTTACTGCTTTGGTTACCTTTTCTAACCTTACCCTCTCTCTTATCTGGGGTAGTGGCACAGGTGTATGAATTTGGACCTGTCACTGGACATGTTCAAACAGAGGCTTGGTCACCACTCTTGGGTAGAGGGAGGGATTCTTTGGCAGATTTGTAAAGATGATGTCTAGGGGCCTGCATTAATCCACCTTATTATTTTGAGGTCAATTCATATAGCTCTGTTTTCCCAATATAAGTTTCTTTTCGTTTGGGATAAAGATCTAGAAAGACTAAAGGTGATATTGCCTACATCTTCCTAGATTTGGAACCTTAGAAATGACTTTTTACTAGATCAAGCCACTCAGATGATCATTAGTATAGTAGGAGTCTGTATCTTAAGTGTGCAACTTACAGAACCCTAAAATAGAATTTTAAGACAATATATACTTGTGTGTGTGTGTGTGTGTGTGTGTATTCTTGAGAGCTTGGTTGTTTTAAACAAAAAAGGCTTATACAAAAAAATTGTTCATAGAAAATTGGATGTCTTTTTAAGTAGATTGCAGTAGTCTATAAGAACATTTGTAATTCATATTTCTTGGCATATTTATCTATAACTACATAACCATTGCCTTTTATGTATAAAATATTGATGTTTAACAAGGTTACTTGGAATATGCAGAACATAATCATAATATATATTGCTAAACAGGACTGAGAATAAAAAAATCTTCAAAATGTGATTTTGTTTATAATAAACTGCATTTGTTTCAAATTAGAAGAATTCCCCTCAATAATGTACATAAAATTGTAAGAATTGCAATTTGAATGTATTTTGATTAAGATCCTTTTCTTTTTAAAAAGTATGACTCATTTACCTAAAATGAGCCATTAGTTCTTCAATATGCAAATTTATACTGAATTACTGTTATGTTTCCCCCAAGAATTACTGTTATGTTTCCCGGGCTTGCCTGGAACTCTAGTTCTCCTGCCTCAGCCTACTGAGTAGCTGGGATTAGAGGTTCTTAGACTTGCCTGTTTCTCTGTGTACTGTTGTTCTAATTTGCTTTCAATTGCTGTAATAAAAGCACTGACCAAAACCAACTTGGGGAGGAAAGTGTGTATTTGGCTTTCAAGCACAGTCCAGCACTAAGGGAAGTCCAGGCAGGAACTCCAGGAACCTGGAGCATAGACCATGGAGGAATGCTGCTTACTGGCTTGCTCCTCTGGCCTATGCTAAGCCTGCTTTCTTGAACAATATAGGACCACCTACCCAAGGGTGGCACTACCCACAGTGGGCTGGGCCCTCCCTCATCACTCAACAATCAAGAAAATGCCCTGCAGACATGGCCACAGGCCAATCCAAGGAAGCAATTCTCCAGTTGAGGTTCCTGCTACCCTTGGGTGTCAAGTAGATAGATAACTAAAGCTATCCAGCATCACTGTGTATTGTTTCCTTGTAACTGGAGACATTGTATGCCTGTTGTAAGATAGTAAGCAGTTTAGCAATGTCTTAACTCCGACATAAAGGTTCTTCTGAAATCCTACCCACCCCTCTAGTCAAGATAAGCGCTTCTAGCATTGTGGTAGTCTTTACCTTTGCCATTAGACAAGTGAACCAAATAAGACACAGATAATTATGTCAGTTAAAGTGTGTTATCTGTTCAGTGATATTTTCAAACTACCTGGGCCTTAAAACTTGTCTTGGCAAATTTGGAAAAATTGAACCTAGAGCATCATACAAGCTAGTTAAATGTTCTCCCACTGAACTATATTCCCACCCCTGATGAAGCAGTTTTAAGGACTAAAGTATAATATACTGAGAAGTTCCTTGTGTCCTTATGACTAGCAGCAATGTATCTTGGGAGCTAGAGAGATGCCTCAGTGGTTAAGAGTGCTTACTGTTCTTCCAGAGGACCTAAGTTTAGTTACCAACAGCCATGTCAGGTGGCTCACAACCCCTCTAATTCTAGTTCCAGGGGATCCAATGCCCCTCTTCTGGCCTCTGTGGGGCACCTGTGTGTGAGTGACAGACACATACACATAAAAATTTTTTTTTTGTTTTGCTTTTAGAGAACTCGCAAGTTAACATTGCCTTTCCTTTTTTCTGAGAAGTAGGGGTTGAACCTAGGACCTTATGCATGTTAGTCAAGTGTTGTATTCACTGAGTTACATCCCCTAGTAATAACTTTGCTGTTTTGAGGCCAGATGATTATTATCATCACCAACAATAATGGAGAGTAGCCCTGTGCAAAGTAGGATGTTTAACAGCATTATTGACTTCTACTTATTAGATGCTGGTAATCGTCCCTGGGACCTGGGATTTGAAGAAAAACCAGGTGTGGTGATGCACACCTTTAATCCCAGCACTTAGGAGGTAGAGGCAGGCAGATCTTTGTAAAATCTGAGGCCAGCCTGGTCTACATAGCAAGTTTCAGGCCAGCTGGAGTTGGAGAGACCCTGTCTCAAAAAGACAAAAAAAAAAAAAAAAGCCCTTGATTGAGAACTATTGATTCCTAATATATGACTGTCACAAAATCATGACTTTTTAAAACTCTTGTCTTACTCCCTCCTTTGCTAGGTATCAAACCCAGGGCCTCAGATATGTTAGACAAGTACTCTACTACTGAGCTACATTCCCAGTCCTCTAACTTTCCTATTCTTGTTTACAATGAGTAAATTTTTTGCTAGATTTCTTGTTAACGGCAAGAAGAATAACTGGAAAAAAGAGAGGATTTCTAGTTCTTAAAGTGGTTCTTGCAAGCTAGCAGGAAGTTTAACTCCACACAATGTTTCTTCCTAAAGGAAAGATGCTTCCCCTTGGTTTTATTTCTCTTACTGCCTTTCTCTGTTGTTTTTACTGAAAGACAGAATTGTGTACTGGAAGGATCGGCTTCCAAGCCAAGCAGGAGTTCAGTTGCTTCATCTGTAAAATTGTGTACATAGCACTTTGCTAATCTGAAAATTAATAGCTTGTATTATGAAAGGGTATTTGAAAATGGTAATGTAGAAAGTTTACTGAAACTAAAATGTAACACATGATTTTCATTTTGGTTTTTATTCTTTAGGTATTGCATGAAACCTTCCCTAAACATACATTTCTGATGAATGGTCTTATTCAAGGAGTAAAGGTAGGATCAGTCATGTGTATGTTACATATATTCATGTATATACATGGTTCGGTATATTACTTGCCTAATTCACTAAGTATCAGGGCTTTTTAAAAAATACTATTTTTATTTTATGTGTATGAGTGTATTGCCTGCATATAGGTAAGTGCACCCATGTCATGCAGTGCCCACGAGGACAGAAGAGGCCGTGGGGTCCCCTGGAACTGGAGTTACAGACAGTTGTTAGCTGTCATGTGGGTACCAGGATTCGAACCCAGGTCTTTTGCAAGAACAACCAGTGTTCTTAACTGCTGAGCCATCTCTCCAGCCCCAAGGATCAGGGTTTTAAAAAATACTTTATTATTTTTGTATTTTATGTGTATCAGGATATTGCCTGCATGTATGTAAGTGCACCACCTGAGTTGTATAGTGCCCACTTAGGTCGGGAGAGGTTGTCAGATACCTAAAACTGGCATTACACATGGTTGTTAGCTGCCATGTTGGTGCTGGAAATTGAAACCAGGTCCTCTGCAAGAGCAGCCAGTGCTCTTAACCACTGAACCATCTCTCCAGCCCCCAGTATCAGTTTTTATAACTAGATAGAATATAATTTGAGGTATTAAGTAATCTTAATAATCTTAATACTTTTTTGGGGGTGGTCGTTTGAGAAGTTGTCTACTTTTGGTTCAATTTGACCAGCAGAGTTTATAAACAGTTAATTCATGTATTAGTATCCAAACAAGTATCTAGCATATGTCTAGAATTGCTAATGTCGAGCTGCTATGATTGAGACTACAATAAAGCGTTTCATATTTAATCCCCAACTAAAGTCTAGTAACATGTTTGTTACTATACAAACTCTCTACTCTTAATTTCGATTTGCCAGACAGATTTTATAAACTAATAATTCATTTATCAGTCTGAAAACATGTTACTAGCGTATAGTAGTCTTTCTGGAATAGTTAATTTGTTTACTCTCATTGGAAGTACTTTGGCATTTCATATAACCCAGGCAGAGCCCAAATGATTGTATCTGATCTGAGAAAATTTTAATATATAGGCAAGAAATAAGCTATTGTTTATCTAAGGTTTAGAGACTGATTTCTTCTGGAAATAAGTGGTTTTAAATTCAATAACTGTAAAATGGTGTCTTTGGTTCATGAATATATGGTATACTTTTTTTTCCTCTAGGGTTTGTTGTCATTCCTCAGTGCTCCACTTATTGGTGCTCTTTCTGATGTTTGGGGCCGAAAGTCCTTCTTGCTGCTCACAGTGTTTTTCACATGTGCTCCCATCCCTCTCATGAAGATCAGCCCATGGTACGTACCTGCTCAGGTTGCTTAGCCGACTTTCTCTTACTGCTTTCTTAATGCTTCTTACTTCTTGCACTTTTTACAGCCAACTTATCTGTGTAGATATTTTTTTCCTTGTTTCGGCCTAGGTTTCACCCTCCCACACCATGGCAGCCAGAGTGAACTGAGTCTCTTTGTGGCTCTGGGTGCTGAATCTCAACCCAGGCCACGACCAAGACCAGGGGTGATTTTTCAATGAACACCAAATCTGTGTAGATTTTTACTTTATTCTTTAATATGTTTTTCGACATAGATGAGAAAGGTTCCAGAAAAATATAGTACTTAAGTAATAGTTCCTAAGGGTTTTGGAACTAGATGTTACTGTTGAAAACATCTAGCCCATATGTGGGCAAACATGCTTTTGAATTTCAAAACAGTATTTTAGGGACTTGATAGAGGTAATGCCTTTTTATTTGCTTAAGTAGAAATTGTGTACAGATTATCACTGTTTGTATTAATTAGGAATAGATTTCATCAGTAAAGCCCCAAATTATATATGTTTAAAATAAAACATATCTCCAAGAAGAGTAGTCCAGAGCCAGATGTGTCAGTTACAGTAAATAAGACTTTAAGTTTATTTATTTTTAAAATATTTATTATTTTTATGTGTATGAGTATATTTGCCTGCATATATGTAAGTGCACCCATGTCATGCAGTGCCTGCAGAGTTCAGAGAAGGCATTGGATCCCTGGAACTGGAGTTACAGATGGTTGTTAGCCACCATGTTGGTGCTGGGAATCAAACCCCAGTCCTTTGCAAGAGTAGCCAGTGCTCTTAACCACTGAGTCCTCTCTCCAGCCCCTTTATTTATTTATTTTCTTACTTATTTATTTTTATGTGTAAGTATTTTTCCTATATGTAAGGGCACCTCATGCATGCAGTGCCCACAGAGGCCAGAAGAGGGCGTCAGATTCCCCTGGAACTAGAGTTACAAATTGTTATACAGTTGTTTACCACCATGTTGATGCTGGAAACCGAACCTGGGTCTTCTACAAAGTAGCCAGTACTCTTAACCCCCAAGCCATCGCTCCAGCCCAAGATTTCTCTTTAACCATTTTTCCATTCTCAGCTGTCACTTAACTGCCCAAAAAGCACCGGCTATCAAGTCAACTTTAGAGGGCACCATAGAAGATATGACTAAGAAAAGCATGCGTTTTGTGGGTGGGGGTCGGGGGATGGAAGGGTGCTTTGTTTTGTTCTATTTTGTTTTTTAAAAAAGGTCTTGCTAGCAGGTATGGTGGCACATGCACTTGGAGGCACTTGGGAGGCAGAGGCAGGCAGATCTCTGTGAATTCAAGGCCAGCATGGTCTACAGAGTGAATCCATGCCAGCTGGGGCTACAGGGAGACCCTATCTCAAAAAGACCAAAGGAAAAGAATAAAGGTCTTGCTATGTACCTACATAGCCCAGGCTGGCCTTGAACTCTAGATCCTTCTCCCTCATCATGCACTTGGAGGCACTTGGGAGGCAGAGGCAGGCAGATCTCTGTGAATTAAAGGCCAGCATGGTCTACAGAGTGAATCCATGCCAGCTGGGGCTACAGGGAGACCCTATCTCAAAAAGACCAAAGGAAAAGAATAAAGGTCTTGCTATGTACCTACATAGCCCAGGCTGGCCTTGAACTCTAGATCCTTCTCCCTCAGCCTAAGAGTACTGGGATTATTTCCACAACAGCCCACAATGCTGCCTTCTTTACTATCCAGCCTCTGCTTACATAGCTTATATATCTTTGGTCAGATTTCAGGCATGTGTTTCTGCTAGTTAGAAGAGACTGGGTTCTTGGCTGCTCTGATAAAAATTAGGGTTAGTTTTTACCTTAAAAGGGAAAGTCCGCACTCATAAAAGAGAACAAGTACCCAAAGTAACAGGATAATATTACGCATTAGTACATTTCTTCTCTAGCGCTCTTTCTGCCTCACAGCTTTATGTTCATTCACACCAGGAATAGTCTCTATTTCCATTGTATGTCTAGAAAGACTAGGGGATATGTGGGGCAGGATCTTCTCTCATAGGTTAGATGCAGCTTTAAAGACCATGCCATTAATGAATGCTAATGATGCAAATGAAATCTCAGTCAAAGGGATCTAGAGGCTAAATAGAAATTTACTTTGGAAAGCAGTGTGTTAGAAAACTTTTCAGTAGCTATTGAAGTCCTGGTCGAATGAGAACATGAAAATTCATTATGATTATGCATAACTTTTGAGCTAAACTTCATTACAAAAAAGATTTGTTATTCTTACCTGTTTTGGAGTCATCTATGGTAGAATATAGTCTGTCTTTCAAAATATCTTTTGCCTTTGTGTGTGTGTGTGTGTGTGTGTGTGTGTGCACGCGCGCGCATGCATGCATGTGTGTAGTTTGGGATGTCTTCCTCAGTAACTTCTCCACCTATATTTTTGAGATTGAGTCTTACTGAGCTTGCTGTTTGAGCTAGACTTAGCTGGTCTTCAAGCTCCTAGGATCTGGCCATCTCTGCCACTGTTCCCCAACACTGAGGTTACAAGCACAAACCACTACACGCAGCTTTTTACATTTTTACAGGGGTACTGAGAATCTGAAATCAGGTCCTTGTACTTGTGCAGCCAAGCACTTTACCCACAGAACCATCTCTCTGGCCCTTGTTTATGGTCTGCAGTAACTGTTCAGGTTTCTTTAGTGTAAAGATTGAGTTTGTTTTGCTAACAATTGAGGAGCTAAAATAACTTAAGGAAAACAATTTCTGTATATAGGAGCACCTAAACCTGGAGTGGTATCAGTTTGGTTTACTGAATTTTTGGTACTCTGGTGAAAAAATAGTAATGGGTATATTAGCCCTTGGTTTGTTGCAGGTTTTAGTAGAAACAGCAAAACCCTTGTCAGTTCAACAGTTGGATTGAAGATTTATCAGAATATGTTATCTAATTTTATTCATTTAAAAATTTTTTTTTGGTAAACAGGCATTGCTTATTTAATAAGTACAGTATGTACACAGAATTCTCTTGAAAAGCATCATTTTATACAGAAACATAGAGAATGCACAGTGTAATCCAAGATTGTATAATGAACACGTGTGTATGCTGGAAGGTAAACTAAAGAAGTTTCATTACCACAGTCAAAATGGACAGCCACATGCATTTCAAAAGGAATTTCATTCCAGAATATATTATTTTTTATTTTATGTGTATGAGTGTATATATATGTTAGTGCACCTATGTCATGCAATGCCCATGGATGTCAGAAGAGGGCGTCGGATCCCCTGGAACTGGAATTACAGACAATTGTTAGCTGCCATGTGGGTACTGGGAATCGAACCCAGGTCCTCTGCAAGAGAAACCAGTGCTCTTAACCACTGAGCCATCTCTCCAGTCCCAGATGTTATCTAATTTTAAGTGCTATAGTCCAGTGTAGAGGTGGAGTTGCTATGAAGGACCATTTCTGGCCCCATGTTTCCATAGTAACTACCCTGGGATTTATACAAGTGTTAACTGTAAGCTGTCCTAGAAAGCTGTGGCTGAATTAGTTCTTTAATAGAAATCAAGATTTTAAGTAATGGTAATTGTTATAACCCTTTTTTGTGCTGTCTTTCACTCCTAGGTGGTACTTTGCAGTTATCTCTGTCTCTGGGGTTTTTGCAGTGACTTTCTCTGTGGTATTTGCATATGTTGCAGACATAACTCAAGAGCATGAACGGAGTATGGCATATGGGCTGGTAGGTATCTTTGTCCCTTTTGAGCCTTTCGTGTCTCTAAAATGTCTTGTTTTCAAAAGTATCCCTTACTACATAATGCATAAAATACATTTCAGGGATAATCATCCATTAGACTGCATTTAAAAGCCTTTGCAGACATATGGTGGCACATTCCTGTAACCGCAGAATTGAGAAGGCTGAGGCTGGAGGATTATGAGTCACCTGGCTACCTAACAAGACCCTGTTTCAAAAAAAAAAAAAACTTTTTCAGAACTATGTAAAATCTGATAGTCACCATTTAGGAAGTCTTGGTAAGTCATGTCAGAATTAAAATGATGGTGTATTTTGTCCTGTGACATTTTTACATGGAATCCTAAAAGTAAGAAAGTAAAGTTTCTCCTTTAATAGATAATCTAAAACTACAAAGTTTCTCCTTTAATAGATAATCTAAAACTACAAGAGGCTAACATCAAGTTCAGGGTTCACTAAACCTTTCCTGTAGTTTTGTGAGCTATGTCTAGTCTCTGACTCACTGTGTTTTTGCTTATGTGTGTATGTTTACAACTTTTTTTTAGTTATGGTGGAATCTGGGTTGGTTTTTTTTTTTTTTTGAGATTTAAAATTTTTTTTTATGTTTAATAGATAATCTAAAACTACAAGAGGCTAACATCAAGTTCAGGGTTCACTAAACCTTTCCTGTAGTTTTGTGAGCTATGTCTAGTCTCTGACTCACTGTGTTTTTGCTTATGTGTGTATGTTTACAACTTTTTTTTAGTTATGGTGGAATCTGGGTTGGTTTTTTTTTTTTTTTGAGATTTAAAATTTTTTTTTATGTGTATAAGTATTTTGCCTGAATGTATGTAAGTGTACCATGTGTGTATCTGGATCCCACAGAGGCCAGAAGAGGTCTCAGATCCCTTGGAACTAGAATTACAGGCAGCTTTGAGCTACTTACTATGGGTGCTGGGAACTGAACTCAGGTCCTCTGGAAGAGCAATGAGTGTTCGTAACCACTGGACCATCTCTAGCCCGAAGATGTGGAAATTTTAAAAAGAATGTTTCTGGGTCTTTCGCCTTTCCACCTTTCTGCCTTTCATCCCAGAGGCAGGCAGATCTCTGTGACTTCAAGGCCAGCCTGGTCTACATAGTGAGTTCCAGGCCAGCTGGGGCTACAGGGAGACCCTGTCTCCAAAAGACCAAAAATCAAAAAGAATGTAATACCCATCTTATCTCAGTGTGGTCCACAGGCAGTTGCTGCCAACACCCAGTGAATAATGGCTGGGTGTTGAATAATGGCATGTATTATTTAGATGCCAGCAATAGGATAGGGATGAATTTCCAGGAATGTGGGATACATATATTTTAATAAAGACCAGGTATTGTATCATACTGAATTTTAGTTTCATGAAACTGTGATTTCAGATTCAAAGGTACTATAACAAATAATTAAGGAGTTGGGAAGCTGGCGGGGAGCGGGGGGGTAGGGGGATGGATGATACCTGAAGGGAAAAACTTAAAAAGTGCTGATGGTTT